GTCAGGTTTACTTTAATGAAAACTGATAATGTAATTTTTTCTTCCTTGTCCTAGCTTTCCTATCAACCATGTATCATTGTCATTGCTTTCAGACTTTAGCCCTTAAAATAGTCACTGTGTTTTGTTTTTATAGATTAATGTTTGTATTTAGTAAAATTTATCTAAACATTTTTAGATAATTGTTATTAACTAGTTTTTAACTGTAGTTAAGTAAATATTTGTAAAAATGACAAACAAAATACAGTGGTATCTCTGTACTCAAACTGTTCCCAACTCAAACAATTTATTATTTAAACAAATTCTGGAAAAAATTTCTTAAGGTTTGACCTGAACAAATGCAACTTTCTAGAACAAATTTTCAATTAATAAGTTTTATTTTGTCATCCATAAAAAAATTTATGATAAAAATTTTTAAAAATTGAAGACATTGCTGATATTTCTGACTAAGATCAGCAAAAATGCTCAGATGACTGATACTTTGTAAATAGAGAATGCCCTCATTTAACTAAAATTAATATTAAAGCATCATATGGTACTTTTAATTGTAATTGTTAGTTAATTATTGATTGCTTTAATAAACATATTTCTTTTAGTAACAAAAAAAAAAATAGGGCCTAGTATAATTTTGTTAACTTTTGAAATCTAACCCCATGTTTTGCATTAGTTTTTTGTATAGCATGGATTTGTATAACACTGCATTTTTTCAGAATATAACTACCATGTTATACAAGGGATACCTATAGATGTAATTATAAATAAGGAAAGTGGAAAAAAATAGTGAGATAAAATAATCTAAACTGCATTGTCAAATACAATATGGTTTCCAAAAGACACAATTTTTTATTGCTTCACTTTTTTTTATTTTATTTATCAAATTGTGTTAATAAAATATATTTACAATAATAAATGCTAAAATAACTCCAAAAAATTAAATAAAAAAGATGTCAGTAATACCTATAGTAGTACCATTATTTCCTTTAATAAATATCCTCAAAATATGCCAAATGAAAGTTAAATCCCAACATTTATTAGAGACTGGCATCAATTCAATACCAATGTTTATTCGGTAATGTTTGACACCATATCAATGTAATAATGTTTATTTATTATCCATAAACACAACTCAGCTATTAGGAGCAAAATTCAGCTATTAAGAACAGTGTCTTCTAGAGACCTGAAATGTTTAAAGATTTGTTTGTTGTTTCTAAAGCTATATAGGTTAGAGATGTGTGTGTTGTTCCAAGTAGTGCAGTCTTCTGCATCATGTGGATGTTTATTCTGTCAAGATAACTCCCAAAAGCTAGAACAGTTCAAAAACACACAGATGCTTTTACATAGTACTTCCAGCACAGATTTTTAATAGATGTTAAATTGAAGATGATAAATGTTTTTGGCCACTTCAGTGGCTTTCCTCAGGTTACAACTTTACTTGAGCTTGTATATTTGATAAAAACTTTTTACAAATGAACTTACAAAATTATGTTTGTTTTTATATTTTTTAATTTTTGAAATGATGCAAGACAACAAACTGACTTCAAATACAAACTACATAACTACGCTAAAATAGACTTATCACTGCTAAACAGTAATAGTCATGTGTTTCTATCCCTGCACTTTGCAAAATGCTACAGTAGGAGATCTTATTTGTAGGCGACATTAATCAACCCTTAATATTAATTCAAATAATTAATATTAAGGGTTCTTCTGTTATAAATAAATTTTTTATTTTGTTACTTTTATGAATTGTAAACTATAATTTCTTAAATCAGTAATATTTGAAACAAGTAATGATTAATCTGTCATTTCTTCCAACAGTAGATGAAGTTATTCAAGAATTAGAATCATTATATATAACTATTACAAATGGAAATTTTGATAAAAGTACTGTTATGTCAATAATAAAAGTTTGTAACCAGTTGAAGCTTAAAGGACAAGAAATAGAAACATTATATAAAGGTGAGATTATCATCATTTTCGAACTAAATGAAAATTCTAGTATATATTAATAAAATAGTTAATTATAAAAGTCAATAATTATTTAATATTTTCAAAGATTTATTTCTTCATTATTCTATAAAAACAATATATAAGAAAGTTTTTTAGTAAAGTTTTGAAATAAGTAACAAAAATGAAATTTATCAATTCTTAACTTTATATTTTGCCTCTGAAAAATCATTTTAAAAAATGAGACAGATCTATAAAAATATTAAATGATTATATCTTTAATACTTTTTTATATTTAAGTTGAATATTGGTTTACTTAGAAATTTATTTTATTTATTATCATAGTTTTTATCATATTATCTTTACTTTTAACACTTTTTACATATTCTGGCAATTTCTAATTACAGTATGTATAATTTAAAAAAAAATTTTTTTAATATTTTAATGTAATATTTTATTACTGATATTTTATATATTAATACATATAATCAAATACTGATTTATGTATTTTGAAAAACTATTAAATTATTTCTTTTTTTAATTTTTTAATTACTCAAGAATATTCTATTGGCATTAATTGATACATATTGAAAAATTATTGTGAAGAAAAAAAATTTGTTGAATATAATAAATGATTATTGAAGCTTTGAAACATAATATGTAAAATAATTAAAAATTTATTTAAAAAAATAAGATTTTTAATAATTATGATTATTTGATATTTTTGTAATTTTTCAATGAAATATTAATAACAACAGTTCTTATATTAAAAAATTACATTTTTAGAACAATTTTTAATTTTATTTTAATTAATAGTCTTTGATATTAATTTTATAATTTATCTAAATTCAATTTAAATAAAATTGCTAGGTAAAATTATTTAAATTCAATAAGGGGTACGTTAGTAAAGTCAAACGAGTTAAATGCATTAGTAACGAATCGTTCGAAAAGTAGTAGTCTCGCTCAGTGTGCATGCTCTGTGGTGATGATGTTTCGAACGAAACTCTAACAAAGCTCACAAAAGAAAGAGTTAGTTTACTTTGTTAAGTAAATGGTGCCAATGTTTCTAAATATACTCAAGTGTTTAAATTGTGAATTAAAAGATGAAATGATTGAAATAACTGTCCACCCGAAGAAATTTAAGAAAAATATTTCGGATAAGGCTGCACTAACAACATTCATATCTTCGATTTTAGAAACATCCATTTAGTTATAAACGAATCGTTCGAAAAGTCTAACTAAATAAGAATAACGATGACGTCATTCTCGTTTAACTCGTTCGACTTTACGAACGTACCCTA